ACTCTCTGTTCGAAGCACAGTGGGTGGGCAACACGCTTCACATCCGGCACGACAAGTTTGTATCTGTGTCCGCGTGTGCTGCATGGCCCTCGTAGGTGCAGCATTGGCCTCAGCATGGGGAAGTCACCGAGATGTAGAATTCGGTAGGTCATAATGAGGTCGACGCGAGAAGGTGTAGAGTCCTAGTTTCTCGCACTGGTCTTCATACCCCAAGCTATGTAAACTCGGGATGAGCCTGGTAGCGACGTGTTGGACCCGTTCGATCTTTTGTGCCTCGCCTCGGGTAATCGGAAAATAGGCGGGCGAACCGTACTCTAGCATTGGTCTAATGATAGAAGAGAACAGGCGAGTGGCAACCTCTTCAGACCATGTGCCGAAGCTACGTTTAAGCGCCCAAAGCATGCGCAGTCCGTTCCGATATAGCCTGTTCGTGTTGTCCACGGACTTCAAATCGTAGCGTGAGAGTACACCTAGGTCCTTCACGGAGGGTGCGGGATATAGCGTTTGGCCGTCAAGGGTGTAGTTTCGGCCGTTAGCACCCTTCTCCAGGCTCATAAATACAGACTTGGCTGGGTTGACCGGGAGAAGAACTTCTGCAGACCATGTGGATAGGCAGTTGAGGTCTTGCTGAAGTAGGCCACAGTCATCGGGAGCGTCGATTTCTCTTCAAATCTTCATGTCGTCCGCAAACAAGGCACACGGCGACCGGAGAAGCTGCGGTAGATCGTTGATGTGGATCAGGAACAGAGTGGGCCCCAGCACAGTGCCTTGAGGCACGCCACTTATAGAGGGGTACCAGTCAGTTAGATGGTCGTCGACTTGGACCCTCTACTTTCGTTTGACAAGAAAGTCGCGGATTCACTAGTGCAGTGAGCCACCGAGATCACACATCCCGAGTTTGTGAAGGAGAACCTCATGGCTGACCTTGTCGAACGCTTTACTGAAATCGACTGGTATCACGTCGACGGACTTCCCCTTGCTTATTACCTTCAACCACTCATGCCTCGTCACAAGCAAGTTTGTAATGCATGAGTGGCCTTACACAAAACCGTGCTTTGCGGGCGTCAGGACCTCTTTTGACTGTGGCAGCTGCAGCAATCCCTTCTTCACGATTTTTTCAGAAAGCTTTGTTAAAATAGGTGTCGGACAAATTGGCCTGTAGTTGTCTACTTAGCTAGGGTCGCCGCTTTTCGTAATAAGCTTCACCACCGAACATTTCCAGTCAATTGGCAACGAACCTATGGACAACGACTTGTTGAAAAGGTCAGTCACGACAGGAGAGATGATGGTCGAAAGTGACTTGAGAATCAGTGGATGAAGCCCAATAGGTCCGGCAAGTTTGGTGCCGTCAAGGTTGGCGAGTAGTTGACATACCTCTTCAACGCCGCAATCCAGACTGTCGAGTTCGGTAAAAGCGGTACACGTCGAACTCGGAACAGACACCTGGTCATTTGCAAATACAGAAGCGAAGTGTGCCGCCAACGCGGACGCATTCTCAGTGCTGGAGGTTAGGAGCTGTCTATCCGGGCCATCCAGCACTGGCACATCACCTGCCGGCTTCAGGTGTCGTTTCAGGTAAGCAAAGATTCTCTTTGGGTTGGTCTTCGCGGCGACTGCGACCTGCTCTTCGAAATGTCGGCGCTTATTTCTGTTTTCACTGTTACAGGGGTTCCGCTGACTTTTATACCCTACGTAATCATTGGCAGAACCAGCGAAGAGGAATCTGTCCCACAGTCTGCGCAGCCTCCGAGCCAGATTTCCATACTCCTTAGCAAACCAATGAGGTTTAATCGGTTCTATCTTCCGACATTTCAAGGGCACAAACTGAGAACACTAAGATGTCAATCTTACTTTTATACATATCCAACAGTCGCCCACAAATGCAGATTTTGACAGAGATCAATTCAGTTGGCTCGCTGCTCGGTCTAGACCATCGAAGCCCGCTTGCCAGTAGTTGTAACCTGGTCCCAGCGGACGTGAATACGACAAAGGTAATTCCATGTTAGGTATGAGCACTGAGTGATTGCTTGTAGCCATGGGCTCCAGGATCCGAACTTCACGCACTCGTTGTTCGTAGCTCATTAACATCAGGTCGAGACAGGACGGGGTTTAGCCTGGTGTTATGCGTGTTTGCGGGTATATGTGTTGCGATGCACCAGTTTCAGGTACTAATTCCACGAACTTTGCTTCAACCTCACCATGTCCAGGCATCAAATGTGCATCAGCCCATCGTATTCGAGGACAGTTAAAATCAACCATAAGTAGAATGTGTCGACGACTCATGTGGGTTCGAAGATGGGGCAGCCAATCCAGAGAACGACTTAGGGGGCTGCGATAAACTACGCCCACAAGTAGTTCTGCGCGCGTGAGGTGGATGGAGCACCGCAGTAGCTCACAAACCATCGTCAGTTCGGTAGGTGCTCACAACTCTCCCACGCAGAGAAGACCGGATGCAAAGCAAAACGGCACCGTGGGCATTCGTTAGTCTATCACATCGGAAGCACGAGTAACCGTTGAGTGCAAGTTTCTGGGTGCATAACTCTGAATGTAACCATGTCTCTGCGAGCTCCACCAGGTCTGGTCGCTTGGACGTAAGGAAACAACAAATCACATCGCGCTTGTTCAGAACACTGCTAAAGTTTTTTTAGGCTACTCGCGGGTCGCAGCACGAGGCGCAGGGCGTGATTTAAGTGTGAGCAGCCTGTTTTTCCTGATACGTAGATCCTTGGAAACCACCCGAAAATTTGTGATACGAAGATTTGTCTCCCCTTCAGCAGTACATCTTTTCAGTTCAGTGATGGCAGACTTGAGCCGCTCCCTGTCTACTGGGTCCAGGTCTGGACGAACATGTCCCTTCAAATCTTTCAACCTACTTAAGCAGGACATGATCAGTCTTGGATTGGCTTCGTCCACAAATTGATACTCAAAGGCCGATTTTGTTGATCACCTTTCTATCCAATACGGATAATTTGCCTCACTTTTACCGAGTCCTCACCAACGTCTAGGAGTCTGTTAATTAGACTCTGTAAAAACTCGACATCGTGATTGTAGCTCACTTGGGGTGATGGATCACTGGACTCCAGCGCCTGGAAGATAAAGAGGTTATAATGCCACCTGTCGGACGAGGTTGACCTTGCAGGGCGAAGTATATTACCAGCCTCACGTGGTTTAGCAAACTGTTGACTTACAGAAGTTAAAGGCTCAAAATCCCTTCGTAATTTCGTTCTTTGTTCTTTCCGGTGGTCTTCATCACTCAGACTTTCACCTGCTGAGAGATCAGTGCCCGTTGGACACAACAAAGGTAAACAATTTATGCTAGGTGAAATTGGGCTTCTCACAACGGGTGGACTTCGTGCTGGTGAGTTTGCACGGGTAGAGGACGAAAACTGATCTGAAACCTGAAGGCTCTTCGGGCTAGGTTGTTGGGCCAAACACACGGAGCTGTTCGCAACGGAATGATGAAGCTTACACGTCGGCTTTACTATTCCTGGCTGTATCTTGTTTCGGCAACTTTCACATAAAATTTGACCGAAATCGTGTTGGATCTCACGAAGACGATGAAAATGCACAACTGCTCATCCAACACTGCACTACTCTGACGAGGGACGATGTTATTACATCTTATCAGAGATAGTTAGCAGACATCGAACCCGGGGCCATTGGGATGTTGGTTATGACGGACACCCCTAAGTCACTGAACGCTTTTGTTGACAACATTTCGCCGGTTAGTGGCTACTTGCAAATAAAGTCGTTTCTCTGTTGGCCAACTCTGTCCCCTACACTTTCATAACATGTATGACAGTGAAGGATGAGCCGCGCTATATCACAGTTAGATATCAGTTATGGCGGTCAGCAGCTGTCATCCACGGCTCAGTGGGAAGAGTCGCTGGCTTATAAGGGTAAGATCGCAGATCTGGATCCAGTAGGATCCGGGAGATGCGTGCTACTGACAAGTTCTAGTGGCACGAACCGGCCGTCTTGCGCAATGTTGGATGTGTGGCGGCTGTCCATCAGAGTCTAGATTCGATGAATCTTCTCAAGAAAACCAAACGAACCTACTACTTCTCCCCAATAATCAGTATTCGCCTTAATAACTTACATGCCACCTCGATTGTTGGTGTCTTGCGAAGACAGTCGTTGCTCTGGGGGGCCAACCTTGTTCTCTACGAGTTCACAACGTGCACGACATTGGAGGATGAGCCCAGCTATGACGCGGTTAGAAGTCGGTCATGGAGGTTAGCCTCCGTCATCGATGGTTAGGTGGCATGAGTCACTGACTAACAAGAGTATGGTCGCGGGTCCGGATCCGGTATGATCCGGTGGATGCGTGTCACTGACTAGTTCTAGTAGGATGAAACGGCCGTCTAGCGCTTTCTTGGATGTACCGTAGCTGTCTGGCCAAGTCCGTCTGCAGCGAATATGCTTGAAACTGGATCCCTTTGTCATGGTGGTTTGGTCACTTAATAATAAATCCACATAACGATCACACCATGCGTGCAATACACCCAGTTTAGCTTGAAATAGATCGCTTTTAGAAAGAGGGAGACAGTTGACAAATTGCAGTGGTGCTTATCATGTTAAATACACTGCAATCAGGCTGACGCCCTCATGAGGCTATGGAACTCGGGGCAAGAATGTTCATTTCTTGTTTTTTTCCCAACCTGTATATCTTCACTGGATATTGCTGTTTACGAGATAGAATAAGTGCACGCGTTCAAACACACAAATACAAGGACCCAAGGTGTTGGCAAGGTGGCGTCTAACCGACCGCTTTCCCCGGCCTTCATGTGGATCAGTCAGTTAACCGACGCTTCAGGACTTAATCAAATAATTGGCTCAATTTTATCAGTCAGTATATAAATTCAGCGCCGTAGCCGTTCAAGGCAACCGAACAGCAAAACTAATAGATAAATCTATTAGTGAAAGAACACAACGGTTGCTGTGAACACCACCTGCCAAATGCATGCGTCGCTTCACATCCGCCCTTCCATGTGTTGCAGAATGAAACCAGAAGCGCAATCATGAATGCTGCGCCATTCAACTTCTCACACTCGTCGAGTGGACCGAGGATGAGCGCTGCAGAGGAGTTCTGGAGGTCAGTCATCCCGTATAAAAAATGCATATAAATTACCACCCCCACTATGTATTGATGCACACGGCCTGAAGAAGCTTGCGTGACAAAGACGAAGCGTCCTTAACTAAACAGATTACAATGCAACAACCGATCGTTCCTAACTTTCGCAGAAATCATGAGTTTTCGATCAGTTCCAGGCATATTCTAAGAGTTCGAATATCAAAATCTCCATAATTTGAGTTCATTTGACATTACTGTCAAACCCCAGAAGAGCATAGATTGAGTTGAGCAATTTGGCTTATCTCGTTATGTCTAGAACATGCCATTTACTTAACCTGTATGGTGATTCCTTCAAGCACATTGCAATATTCACTTGTCTTAAGACCCACAACCGCATTGCTGCTGTGGCGGAGGCAAATGGAGTCGAACGGTTGGTCCTAGCATTACATCAAGGTTGTTCTCACTTCTAAGCAAAAATCGTTTTGCTTCCCTACGCTGGGCAAACATTTAGCCGCAGCCCCCATTCATCAAGTATCAATGACGAAGAAACTAATATAACCAAAGCAGAGAAAAAAGCACCCATATAGAAAAAACACGAAGATTATGCTGCTAACTAAATTCATCAATTTATGCTTGAATTATACCTTTTTGACTTGGCATAACACGTAACAGATGACTGAAGCGCCTTAGCTCGCGTGAAGTCAAATATGGGTTGGTTTTACATTCGGGAAGAGGACGAAAAATCACACTCAGACAAGACGCTTTGAAGGGTAGATGGCATCGTCATGTCAGTCACGGTGTAAGTTCAGTGTTTGAGTGTGATGCGTGTTGTGTACTGTTATTAGATACCCTCTGTAGACCGGCTGGTTGATATGCCCATAATAGTTCTACTTAGGTAGCCTACCACCTACCACAGCCGCCCCAAGTGTAACTTACATTCATATGCTCTGGTGTGTCCATAGAACGACTATGTTGTGGTAGGCAGAACCCCTCAGCAACAACAAGAACAACCTGCTGAAGGCGCTTAGCAAATTGTCATCCCGTTGACTCCGTTGTAGGCCGCAATTACCTCGTATTCATCAAGTCAAGCCTCCGCTTCTTCGTCCGAAAATTGAGCTGACCAGAGTAACTTCATTCGGATTGGTCATGGCAAAATTGTAGCGAGAACGAAATGGTAGGAACACAAGCTTTATAGCCAACGCACAATGAGTTCACAGGCTAGTATGTACAGTCGCATGTATAGAAGACATTTGCAACTCACCACGCACAACACAGTGCGCTTCCACTAGGTGTTTCATTCATGCCCCGTTTCAGCCGATCCGAGGTGTCCCTGTTCGCATATTTGCCGTCGTGTCTTCGCTTCCGCTTGTTCTATTTTGATCTAGCTGGATTCGTTCTGATACCCTTGACTCGCTTAATCCGGGGTTGGGTAGTCCGCCACGTGGGCTTTATCAGGAGACGCGAGCAAGGGCGTACCTCTCCGGAAAATTGGACTGTCCACCATTACGTCCCCCGTTCTTCTCGGCCTGGGCCTGAGATCGTTTGTCGCTCATGGACCATTAGCGGTTTGTTCTGTAGACTTCGAGCTGCTTTGTCGATTTTTGGCCTAGGTGTCCTCGTTAGTTTTCCTCTCCCTTAGTTTCTGTGGCTTGTCCGTTTCGCCTGTGATTCCTGCCTTCCGAGTCAGCAAAATACCAGGAAAGACAGAGTATGTACACGACGCAGAGGGGAACCGAAATCACTCTATTAGATTATAATCAATGCTGTGTGTGTCACTCAGTCGATGTGCTTACGGTGCTCTTCCAGCGCAAAACGACCGACTGGCAATAACTGCAAGCGTTGATGTTTCTAAAAAATGAAGGACAAGATAGTCTCAATGCATGTCCACGTGATGCGTAAAAGTCACCTTAGCTTGGGGCAATTAGCACAAATGTCGTTCGACACAAGGCAGTATCGATGGACCCTCACAAGCTGTGACATCTGTGATAACCATGCTTTTCAGCAAGCACTTCTTCAGGCAAGCCGGTTGGTTGCTTTAGATCACATTGGAAGGCCGGAGTGAAAGTTGCTGATATCTAAAGGGGTGTCGTTTGAGATGAGCATATAAGATTGAAGTCATGCAGTGCTAAGGAATTCGCATGTTCCCAGTCAGGAGTTAGGACGTGAATATTATGAACAGCGAACAACTTTCAAAACAAGCAGCCACTAACAGCGACTGTTTCCGATGGAATCAAGACTATGTATGATCACTAAATGATGATAAAACAAGGCATCGTAAGGTGACTAAAAGTGATTTTAGTTGATAAAGAAACAATTAAGACGACATGGCGTTACTCACCCAACGGGAGTGCCAAAATGCACTGAGCCACCGTATGAATATTACTGATAAGTAGTAGTGAGGATTTTTGTATAATTGAGCTAAACCATCATGGTCACTCCTAATCAGCAGGCTTAGGCTGGTCTGCAAAAGCGCCAGACGCCGGCGTTTCGACCTTCTGGGTCTCGTCCGTCGCTGTCACGCATGGCCAAGTGGCACTAGCTGCTATTATTCTTAAGCCATGGAACCCGGCAGGGGTCCGCTGGGAGGCGCACAACTGACGAGGCCCAGAAGGTCAAAACACCGGCGTCTGGTGCTTTTCCAAACCAGCCTTAGCCTGTTGATTAGGAGTGATGATGGTGAATTAGATTAAGCATGAATATTTCTTATTCGCTGTTTGACGTCAACGCTAAAACTGATGATTGCTTTCATCGTCCATCTGAATGATCACAGATTAAGTATACAAAACCTTATTACGATCAGGAAATTTTAACAAGCACGGGGAGAAAACGAAAGCTGATAGATGCGTGCATCTCGTATTGTCCCCTCAGTACCATGAACTCTAACTGGTATGCAACTATATACTTAACTAGGGGTGTGACCAAATAATTATAAGGTGCAAAATGAATGACGGAAGTTCCACCCCTATATCCACGGCAGTCTTAAGTTGACAGTAATTGCTTTTGAACACACAGGGACGGCTTCATCCTACTTACCGCAAGGGCCTCGGCGAAAAGTGGGAAGCGGGGATTAAAGTGAAGTGACACAAGTGTGAACGGTGACCCAAGCTCTGTCCGGTGACGGGTAGTCAGTACGTGGTTACCTATTGAGGAAACTGTCAGCTTGTGCAAGCACGGAAGTTCAGTGGGACAGGAATGCTGTTCCATTTCATGTTGAACCCACCTCGCACGTGTTCTTTCATTCGACCGATTGGTTCTGCCTATGGAACTGTCTCCGTAATCGCACACAAATTTGTATATGCAGTGTGAGTTGGCCACCATCGGTTGAGCTTCCTTAGTTGGAGGCACCGGCAAGTTACGAGTTCTATTGATTACCACAACCTGAACAGCACAGTAAATTCTCGGCGTAGCAGAGGTTAAACGTTTCGTGGTTTCCGATACAGTAAAGTCACCCTTGAAAGGCAACTTGATATGGAGCTTTTTCTTGGCTGCTGATGATAGAAAGAGGCATATCCGCAGAAATAGCCAAGTTACCATACTACAAGCGTTATGTGGATGACATATTGGCAGCATTCCCTGTTACGTGCATCAAACACGTACACAATCTTTCATCGTCTCACTTCACACGAGGACAGTTAAAGTTCTTTTACTGGGACTAAAGTGTAGGCTGCCACCGAGGAGTGTCAAGCGGACCAGCATGCAGGTGAATTTTGAGTATCTGTATGATCAATCAAACAAGCTATCACCGAGATCAACTGAAGATGCCATGTGGTTTCGTGCAAAATCGATGAGTATCACGAACAAATTCCTTAAAACACCGATAAGCCAAAGGTGTTGCCTGGGAGCTGAGCATTACAAGGCGATCAAAAAGTTGAAAGAGATGAAACATGTGGTCTTTTTGTAGCCGGATAAATGATCAGATGTTGTGGTCCTGGATAAAGCGGAGTATATCTCCAAGATGAACTCTGTTCTCGGGGATACACATAAGTTCCAAGTGGACAACAGCGTTGACACCAATATTGTGGTAGCAAAGCAAGTTGCCAGGAAACTGTATGGGTACACCGCCGAATCACTGTATCGGCAACTGAAGCCGAGGGGAAAGGAAACCCCAAGCCTGAGATGCGCTCCGAAGATACACTAGATGGGTAATCCCTTACGGCCACTTTTGTGCATGAACAACTCCCCGTATCACAAGGTTGCTTGTTGGTTGGCGAAATTGCTGGAATCGGTACGTAAACTCCTGGCCACATATTGTTTGAAGGACATTCGGATTAGTCGAGACACTAAACCATACGTCACTGCATCCAGAGCGCATGTACTCGATAGATGTGTACTCACTTTTCACAAATATAACCTTGCGCGAAGCTGTTGACGAATTATGCAGTTTCTTTTTGAATCAAAACCTATCCGTTGGTGTTCCTCCTTAGTACCTCAGTGACCTGATATTAACATGCACGGAAAATGTTCAGTTTGAATTTGAAAGATGCGCATACAGGCAAGTCGATGGCGTTGCAACGGGAAGCCCATTAGGCCCAGTTTTGGCAGACATATTCTTGGGACTGCTTGAAAGGGAAATTGCTAACGCCATTAATGAAGCTAAGCTGTATACACGTTATGTGGAATATTAATCTTCAGCAGTGATGAGCATTTTAACCGAATTGTCACCCTGTTGAATTGGAATCACCCCAACCTCTCCGTGCCGTATGATAGGGAACAGCAAGATACCCTGCAGTTTTTAGACATTCTCATCAAAAGGCGAGCCGGAGATACACTCCAACGCACTGTCTACCGTAAAGCAACTTGGAGTGGGCAATACATGCATTTCACCAGCTTCGCACCGGTTGCATACAAATGCGCTCTCATCAGAAACCCTTACTACAAAGCCAGGCGTATTTATAACCAAAAGATGCTGCAGAGTGAAGAAGAGATCCCACATTGGACTCTTTTGTCAAACGGGTATCCGGAGAAATTTATTCAGTTACACAGTAGACCCATCAAAGAGAAGCTACCAGTACAAACAGTGG